CGTGAGGTTCTATGGCAGTGTTTGTCACTGAAAGGAGTACCAAAGAAGTACATTAACCTTATAAAGGCTCTCTACTCGAACACAACTGGTCGAGTGAGAGCTTATGGCAAACTGTCATCAGAATTGATTACTTCAAGTGGTGTTCGTCAGGGCTGTTCACTCTCTCCATTCTTGTTTAACTGTGTCATTGACGTACTTTTAGAGATAACACTTTCCTCATCGAAATTTCCAGGAGTTGAACTTTTACGGGGAGATTCACTTGTTGACTTAGAATATGCCGATGATATAGTTCTATTTGGTGAACACGCTGACAAAATGCAGTCTTCTAACCACCATAAGCAACAATGCAAGATATCCGTCTACCAAAAAAAGACGGGTTTACTGAGCAGCAGTTCGTTCCGTCCTACTTTATGGCAGTGAAACATGGCCGGTAAGAGTAGGAGATATTCGTAGGTTACTAGTATTCGATCATAGATGTTTTCGAAACGTTGCTCGTATATTCTGGGACCATCGAGTAAGTAACGCAGTTGTTAGGAAACGAGTACTAGGTAAGGATGGAAAATCAATTGATGAGGTGGTGAAACTTCAGTTGAGATGGCTGGGACACGTTACGTATGCCCAACGACCGACTGCCTCGACGTGCGATGTTCAATGGTGTAGGAGTAGGTTGGAAGAAAGCTAGGGGTGGCCAGACCACAACATGGCACAAATCCATGAAGTCACTGACAAGTGGTCTGAGTCATGTTGGTAGGTGTAGACTACCTGGTTGGGGACCGCGAGATGATAGCAACCGATGGTTAGAGACCCTGAATGACATGGCTCGAAATTGTCTGCAATGGCGCAGGTGCATCCACTCTTTGTGTTCTCCCAAATTCTAATCTTCTGAATCCTCCTCGTCTCTTTTTTTCTCTTCCGAAATTTACTTCACTAAATTATACTCTTTAAATAATATCTCCAAACCTCAATCTTTCCGATTACTGTTTATACTCTTACTACTTCTACCACTACGGGATTTGAATCGACCACTGCATCTCTGTGCTAATGTGGTATGGCAACTCGAACTGATGTACGTGTGTACGAAGTTCTACGTTGTCACTGACACACTTCACCACTATTTATGTGTTCAAAAATTAAGGAGAACTCAGATTATTTACAGGTTATCTTTTTTTTCTTAAAGAATCATCTCGATAAGATTTTTCGAAATTATATTTCAGTAGTAATCTACACTGATTTATTTTTTTTAATTACAGTTCGCTAGTTGTCTTATGCATTTGTTATGACCTTGAATCGCTTTTACCCCGTGATACTTGTTATGACTTCACCTTGATCTGTCTACATTTAACTATGACCTTGACGCGATAGAGTGAGCGGCCTAACCTTGAGTCTATCACGCGTGAGTTCGGGATGGGGTAGAGAGATAACTATTCTAGAACCTGATTGGTTGGCAAGCACGCAAGTGAGAGAAGACAAGACAGTTGGGACACTGAACTCTGGATTCTCTGAATTCGGATTAGTACAAAAATGTACATAAATAAGTGAATATCTTGACTACGACGTACGATAATTTGGAAAAATACAGTTATGCCCGAAAACAGGGAATTAGGGTAGAAAATACAGTGCAAAATATTATCTTTAAATTACAATATTTTCGGAACAAAAAGGAGTTTGCTAGTGAATGATACATAGAACGAAAGCTCGTGTTATGTAGAATAAGATAGGGACAAAAATAAATATAAGTGTTTTACAGGGTTTGAATGAAATGCAATAACGTCCCAAGAAAATAGCTTTCGTGATTGTCTGGGCATCTTTATTCCCCGTTCATAACAGCATCCCAACGTCAATGGGTGTTACTTTGTAAATGGAGTTGTCAAATTTTTATCTTTGGTTCGAAAGATAAAGTTGTCCTAAAACGTCCCTTCTCTATTTGGTGTGTGGATCATTAACATTGAAGTGTTTTCCTCAGACGTCCAGTCTGTCAAGTTCTCATTAGTCTTGTTAGCATTAAAAGATTCTCAAATTACCGTAGGCCCAACCTAAAACCAATCACAATTATATTATAAAACTTAAAATAAACAAACGATCAACCGACAATTGACAAATACTGATAAAAACAAGTTCGGAATCTACTTTCAGGTTCTAAAGTTTTTTTTATTAGGGAAATAGGCATATATATATATATATATATATATATATATATATAATGGTTACTGTTGGTTTATTAACTCTTGTAATAATAAAACAACCCTTACAGTCTTTCTACGGTTACTGCCGCTCCCCAGTCCGGATAAAGTAAGACGGTTGAACATGCAGTTAGTAATGACGTTCTGTGAAAAGAACTTTGCTAAAAAAGACGCTAGCCGGAAAAATTCATTTTATTCATTTAGACTCAACGCCGCAATTCGAAAGGTCTCCATTTATAAGAGTTTTGACGCCTCATGATAAAAGCTGAAATTCTTTGAAAATCACAACGCCGATGCTCTTTCTAACAACCAAAGCAATAATTAATATAGGCACATGGAGTGTCCATACAGTGTAGGAGACCGGAATTATCGTTAGGTCGTTGGGAAAATGAGAGTATACAATCTGGCAGTACTTGAAATGAGTGAACCCCATGGGAATCAAGCTCAACGGTAAAGATAAGCTTCTGGTGGAGGTGCTATTTTACTCTGGTGATGAAAAAGAAACAGCTCACACAAGGAATTGCCATGATGCTGTTCAAAGAAGTACGAAAAGCGCTTGTAGGATGGTACTCTCATGGATCCAGTTTCACCAAAGCACCCTCCAAAACAAGAAGGGGATTGCAATGAATGTCATTCAGTGCTATGGGTTCACTAATGACAACAGTGGAAACGATAAAGATTAGTTTTATGAGGGGCTGCAGTCGATTGTGGAGAAATCCCTCGAAAATGACCTGACCGTTCTGACAGGAGACCTAGACATCAAGATTGGGAAGGACAACAGTGAGTATGAGGATATTATGGGACGACATGAACTGGAAGAAATTAACGAAATAATCAGGGATTTGCAGAGTTATGTACCTCCAACAAAATAGTTATAAATGGCACCATATTTCCCCACAGACGCATATACTAAGCTACATAGATTTCATTGGACGACACCACAGAGAACCATATTGACCAAATTCTTATCAATCAAAAGTTCGGAAGGTTCATGGAAAACGTAAAAATTAAGAAAGGAGCTAATATAGCTTCAGATCACCACCTAGTGGTGACCCAGATGAAACTAAAGCTAATGAAGCGTTAGACAATTGGGTGGGCAAAACCACGAAAGTTTTATACAGCTTTCCGTCGAGATATTGACAAACTCAACGAATTCAAGATAGCTCTTATCAACAGGTCCCAAGCCTTACAAAATCTACTTAAAGAAGAGGAAACTAATATAGCGAACAACTGGAAGGGGATTAAGAAAGCACTTTAACGCATGAGGAGGTTCTGGGTCGCAAGAAAAATCATCATAGGGAATGGATCTCTGTGGAAGCCCTGCGCGAGATTCAAGAAAGGAAGAACATGAAGACAGCAATTAACAACAGCCAAACAAGAACGGGAAATGTTAAGGCACAAGCTGAATACACGGAAGCAAAAAAGCAAGTAATGTGGAGCATGAAAACCGACAAGCAGAAATACGTGGAAGATCTAATAGTAACAGTGAAAAAAGCTGCAAGAGAGAGAAATATGAAGCAACTATATGACACAACGAAGAGACTAGTATGGAAATATAGTAAACCAGAGTGACCAACCATAAACAAAGAAGACAAACCAATCACTGAGATTCATGAACAGGTAGGTAGAACGCTCTGAAGAATTTTGAGTAAATTAGCCACACTCACCCATCGAAGAAACACCTACAAAACTTCCCATAGATGTAACCGTATCAGCAACTGAAGAAATCGGGATGGTCATCAGACAGAATGGCAAAGCAGCAAGACTAAACAGCATACCAGCCGAAGCACTGAAGTCAGATGTAGAGGTAACTACAAAAATGTCCCACATTATCTTCAAAAGCTGTGGAAGAAAGGACAAGTACCAATGAACTGGAATGGATGATACCTTATCCAGGTGCTGAAGGAAGTCTTTGTAAGTGTGAGAACTACGATGGCAACACTGCTATAATTGCCACGAAAAGTTTTTAAGAGTGTTGTTGACCCAAATGAAAGATTCAGTAGACCCTAAACTTGAAAACCAACAATCTGGCTGTCATAAGGGTCGATGCTGTACTGACCAAATCGCGACTCTGTGGATCGTTGTTGAACAATAAATTAAATATAATTCATCACTATGCATCAACTTTCTTGACTATGAGGAAACATTTGACAGTGTGGGTGGGAAGACCTTATCGACCCTTCTTCGACATTGTCTTATGCATAAAGTATCATAATCATGCGGAATTCCTACAATGAACTACACTGCAAAGTCGTTTATGAAGGGCAGTTAACAGATATATTTCAAGTGAAGACCAGTGTCAGACAAGGCTGCTTACTATTTCCTTTCCTCTTTCTCCTGGTTATTAACTAAATTATAAAGATCAAAGCTGAAGGGAAGCATGGAATACAATAGACATCTTGGATGTAACCCCCGCAACTGGCCTAGCTCTTCTATCCTATACACGGCAGGTGAAGACAACTAGTGTAGCAGGAGCATTTTCAGTAGTAGGTCTCAACATTCACAAGGGAAAAAGCAAGATACTAAAATTCAACCAAATCACTTAATGGAGAATCTCTGAAAGCAGTTAAAACTTACGTACCTGGGCTGTATCATCGGTAAAGGGGGTCTAATGCAGATGTGAAAGCAAGAATCAGGAAGAAGGGCAGTATTCCATCGGTGTTTTGGAATATTATATTTCTAATTGGTGATGTCCATAGATTTGTGCACATGTACATGTATAGTCAGTACTACTATGACAAGTATGCAAATTTTACTAAAGAAACTCAGTATTATTGTTTATTATGCTAAAGCTCTTATTTCCTGTGTTTATGATAACAGCTTACTAAGAGAATCTAACGAATGGACCAGTTTGCCTATTTCGACTGTCATTTCATATATCTCTTCAGATGACTTGGATGTACCTTCGGAACAAGTGAGTCCTACGATTGTTGTTAGTTAGAGTAAATATTTAAATATGACCTTTCATATGAATAAAATTTTATCAATTGAGAGATATTAGAGATAGGTAACTATCAATATATATTTTATCCTTTAACAATTATTGTACATTGCTAGTTATCTTTGTTCACAATTTTTAAGTACAACAAACTTAAATGCAACTCAACCCAATGGTTTAACAAACACAACAGTTTGATATTCTTAGAGTTTTTATCTACTCCGTTGAATTTTTTTCAGAAGTTTTCTTCACTTACCTTAAATGGGTAAAGATAATATCTGGAATTAAGTTGTAATAATCATAAAACTGGATTGACCGAATGCACATCTTCGTGTTTGTTGCTTAATTTACCGGATTTTCAATAGGAAACCTGTAATTTAAAAAGCCTGGTGATTTTTTGGTAAATAAAACCAATTAATAACTTTGAAGGATTGTTATTCATTGTTATCAATTGTAGAAAGCTAAATTAGCCTTTATAAACCAATGCCAATTCTTATCATATGACCTGGAGCCAATGTGAACTATTCTTTAAGGTGTCAAGATTAGATACTACCAATAAATCTTAAGTGTTCAATCAGAGAAGTATAATATTTGTTAATAGTTGTTATTTAATGTAAAGTGGCCGTAAACTAACCAATCTTTTAGAATTACATATCAAATTAACAATGTATTTCTTGAATATTGGGGAAAATAGACTTGGTAATGTAAATTCTAACCTACCATTAGTAGAAAAGCTTTGAATTATCCTGTTTTTGATATTTTGGATTGAATTTCGATCAGTCTTTGTTGGTGTCTGTGCATCACATCTCATCCCTGAATATTACTATGTGATGATATAAGCATCATACCCGTTGAACAAGTTAGTGGATATATAAACTCAGTAGCTCAGTGGACAGCACGTTGGTGTCTGAAGCGGAAGTTACTACATCTGAGTCTCAATGTAAATATCAATACTGGGATGCACGTACACTCAGCTAATGAGTCCTAAATAAGACGAAGTGTGGATCCTGGAGTTAACTGCTAGCCGCAGTCCATTTATTCAATAGAAATACTGTTATGATTGCTATTACTTTTATATATTGAAGCGTTTTCATTCATATCTTCTTGAATTGTATTTTAGTTTGTATGGGATGCTTGTATTAATTGGGTCGACCAGTCTTCTGAAACACGAATTGTCTACCTCCCTCAACTACTGTCACATATTCGTTTGAAATATTTGGAAAAAGAAATGTTGGAAATTCAATTACAAGAAAATCCTTTAATTATTGTAAGAATACTTTATTTATATACAGCGAATGATGTATATAATTGAGTTCACAAAGCAGAATGTCATCTATATACTCAAAGATTATTTTTCTTCTTTTGAAAAGGAAGCTAAATAACTAACGAGCTCAAGAAAACCAGAGACTATTAGTCGACTGCTATGCTATTCTTAAGAACCTAGTATTGCTCAATTGTTGGATTCCGGAATTAAGATCAGGATCTTAATTTTCTTTTGTAGACAGTATAACGTTAAACCACTGAGAAGAAATTCATTTTACTTCACTGCTCTTACAGTCAATCTCGTCATACTGCCAACCTGTAATTTACAGATTCAGATTTATTATTAGAACATAGTGGGTTTTTATCCTCTAATGAATGTTTCAAAGAATCTGAGCATACCCAAATAACACTTTTGCTGCTCTGAGAAAAAGTAAAACTGTACGACCAACTGAATTTTTTCAAAGTCATAATTTAATCATTTTATGTCTTCCAGTAGCGACTGTTGGTGAACCTGAAAATTAGCAGGGACCGTTATCTTGGGCTATCTAGCTTGTATATATCCGATTTATACATAAATTCATAAGAAAAAGTATATAAAGCGGACTTATTCCTCTGCAATGTTCTATCATATCATACTGGGATGTTAAGTTCTTAATATGTATGTTTATAATAATAAATATATTCTTTTCATCTTTTTGGCTTATAGTCCTCATTCCTACCTCGTATTATTGATAAAGTAAATTGTGACACAAGTTTGCATATGTAGTTATGCTAATATTGGATTTCGGGCTACACACATAATCCTGATCTCAAGTGATCAGTCATACGTCTTTGCATACTAATCAATGTTTTTCACTTCAACCTAGTAGATAATCCTTTTTCATTTAACGCAATGAGTGCTTAGTTCAAATCTCAATGAGAATACAATCACTCACCGCGTTATAAGTACATATATCAATGAGTTCCAAATATGGAGAAGTGCAGGTTACTGTACAATGAAGATGAAAATACAGTCAATATCAAGGCTGATTGACTGATCCACGCCTATGAGATGACTGTATTCTATATATGAATAATTTAGGTGATATAGTTGAAAATTGATTACGATGGTTCTGACCCATCGTTTATCTCTTTCTATTCCTAAAATTTGCATTTGTCCAATTCTTTTCATTCTCACATTTTATCGGTCTTTTTAAAACTTATGAATGTCCAATTCCTGCTTCTAAATTTACTTTAGGGCTTGGTATCACTGTCCATCTCTTTTCCTCTTGTTAACTTTATCAGTTATGTTGATGTGTAATGTATAACAACTCAGGTTGATACTAATTTGTACATTTTTAATATTTATCTATCAATAAAACCCGTATGTCAAAAAGGATTGGTCAATTCAATGTTGAATTTCAAGAACAAAAAAGTACATAGATTTAGTTTGTCTGTTTATTGATCATTCGAGTGAATAATACAAACGACCTTATTTCCCCTTTTCTTTTATTCCAATTACAGTGAATGATTATTCTGCACACAGACATTTAGATTTATACGAATTTTTCTCTGCATAATTTTCATTCACACCAATTTTGTTAATGGTGAAATATACAATTAGGCCGCTGATTACATTCATCAGTCACCTTTCAGTTTTGAATATCCATTATACTTGTTCGTTTCGTAGTGTATAAGCTTTGATATGAATTTATATCTTGGTGTAAATATATACAAGTTTTAAACATAATTCTTATTGGTATATAAACCTAATAAAACTCAGTACATCTTCAAATATATTTTTATAAACTTTTTACAGACTGCAATATATATTAGAATGTTTAGATATCCCTATTTTATTAAATGTACAGTTGAAACTCATTTTCTTGTGCATATTTTGATTCAATTACAATTTTAAGCGTATAACCTTATAAGCGAACTAGTTTTTACTTAAAAGGGCCACACAAACTCAGATAAACTAAGTCTAGGGGCTGTATAATATTCAAAATACCAAAATATTTAGAATTGGAAGGCTGACAAGTATCACTCACTAATGAAACTAGCGTTAATTTTGATTGCAAATAAGTTTTCTAGAAAAAGAAGTGGTAGTTTCCAAGGCTAAATGATTAAAATCTCTAGATTTAATCGCCCGTTTGTTCAACAATTCTTATAATTATATAGTTTAAAGTGTAAACTACAACCTCAGCTTATCTGGTTTAGTCTTGGAATGTGGTGTAAAGTTATGTGGATCAAAGCAGTACCTGTCTGTACTTAATATAAATTTATGTGTATTTGGATTCTACCAGATTATGCTACTCCACATATTTACAATCCTTATGACGGTCCTTTTTGTCTGAATATTTCATGTTGCTACTCTTCTCAGAAATATTCTGAAAAATATGTTAATGATTGGCTAGAATAATTTTGATTTATTAAGCGATTGTAAATTTTTGGAGAAAAGTAATCAAACTTTTAAATGAATTATTTTAGGAATGCAAAATTGCTCAGAATATCATCAGATATTTTCTTCACAATGCTTATAACGGTGATGATAATCCATCAATGTATGTCAACAATTTACCAGCTCGCCTAGCTACACTGAAACATCCTACGTTAGTTGTTTTAGGTGGTCTCAATACATGCATTTTAAATTGTATGCAGTCATTTTCACCATCTAGAACAGTATGGCATACGTGTCCTTCTATGCCCGTGGACAGTTTAGCGTGGTTCTCTGTTTCTGTCATTGCAAATACTCTATTTGTTATTGGTGGAATTAAAGTGAGTTTTCTATTTGAATTTTTCGAAATAGTCACCAAGCTAGGATATTATTTGAAAAGATTTAGTGTTTTTATATATTTTAGTTTTTTTTTTATGATTGCAAGCAACCACTAAGACGTTGTTTTCGGTCCGAGTTTTAGATGAATTTTTATCCATAAATAACTTTTCCTGCGGTCTCGAGAACATTCACATTGTCTTTCTGTAACGTTCACTCCTGAGTCGTTTGTAAAGCTCATTAGCGATTGAGGACAATCATGTATCAGCTATCACCGACTGACTAATTTATATAATCATTTCGCTTTTTATCAAGCGAAGTTCTATAAATTTAATTTTCATAACTTTTGTAGTCCAATACTTACTATCTTCCAGTTTCTCTCTCATTGTTATCTATAATGATAACTGATATTCATCACTTTATCTTTTATGTAACTTTGATTTGGTATTTTAGACACGATTTTTACAGGTTTAAATCCCGTTCTATCTACTAACGGTTAAGCAGTAATATAGTTTAGTTAGCCACCATATACTAGATGTACCTCATAGCCTATTAAATCAGTTTGTTTTATTCCCATAGGCCGGTACACTCATGGATTCAGTGTATGCGTATTCACCTGTTCGATCTTCATGGAGTCAACGCAAATGTATGCCGCAGGCGAGGGCTCGGCATTTTTCTGTTTCTGTTGGTAGCCGGTATATTTTTGTATTCGGTGGTGTAACAATGTCTATAAACTCTAATCATCGAAATCATTCATCAGATCGTGTAATTATAAATCATTTACAAGAAACTAACCCTTTGTCAAACAGGCGGAATTATGTTTCCTCACGATTGTCAGCATTCAACCCAAATCTTCCAGTAACTGAATTAGATATTCCTACATTAAATTTTGAAAAATCCATCATTCGATATGATATCTGTAGCGATACATGGGCTAATGTAGGAGAAACGGATAATCCAAGGCTAGAGTCACATGTAGTCTTGATTAATGAATCGAATGAGAATGCAAGTTTCAATCTACAACCATCTGATGGAATTCATGAGACGGATAGTGAACAAACTTCATTACGTTCAGATTTATCAGGTAAAGCTTTGTTGTCAAAAACTGAATGCACTACTATCATGATATTATTATTTTATGTCTCATGTTGCTGTGTTAACTAATAGATTTTCTTGTTGTTCGAATCGATCACATTATCATGCATTATATATATTTATGGCAAATAAAATTCCCTATAATACTATTATATATGTACAACGAATATGGATTCTGTTCTTGGTTAAGTTTATTTCAAAAACTTGTTCAGGTATATCTTATAGTTCTGAAAATCTTATTATAGATACTTTCTCATTTGACATTTGTAATAAACATATTTATAGATTTCTAAATCTCAGTAACAACTGCCTTTTAAATAGTTTATGGTCTTTAAATAAAAACTTGGAAATTGGTTCATTTTAAGTGTATTTTTTCCATAGACTAAAACCAAATGAAATACTTGGTGTTGTGAGATGTTTCGTACTAACTCATCTGGATTACACTCTCATGACTACACACAATATCGAACTCAAAACCTTCAAGCACGATATACTTAGATTACTGAATATTCGTTAGCAGAATCACTAAATTCCCAGTATTGTACAACCATCATATGATTTGTTCAATGAGTGATTGGTTCAATCACACTTCTCTATCCATTTCTACTTCATTAAGAATTTCGCGCAAGATATTCAGCATGCAAATATAAATTGTTTTATATGAACCTGGTCTCTTGCCTTTCAGTGTTTGACTGCTTAAGTATACTGTTTCATAACGCTCACCGTAGTTTCTGTTCTATAAGTCCAATCGTTAGTCTGGAAAATAACTTCATTTCACTACTCCTAATGTGGAATGTTCCATATACCTATGTATATGCTAATTCAGCAGATGATCAATTGGATCCGGTAGTAACAATGGGCATTAAGAGTAGAAGACACTCGTAAGTTACTAGTATTTGACCACATATGCCTTAGAGATATTGCTGGTGTCTTCCGGGATCACCGGGTAAGTAATAGTGAGGTTAGACGCAGGGTATTAGGAAATGATGGTAAATCAGTTGGCAACGTTGTAAATCTTCATCGACTGAGATGGTTGGGCCACGTGTTTCGTATGCCTGAACACCGATTACCACGACGTACAATGCTAACGGGTGTTGGAGATGGTTGGAAGAGAATTAGGGGCGGCCAAACCAAAACGTGGCATCAGTGCTTGAAGCCACTAACTTCTGGTCTGAGCCATGTTGGTAGATGCAGACTACTTGGTTGGGGTCCGCGTGGTTGTCGCAACCAATGGTTGGAGACTCTTGGTGACATGGCTCAGAATCTATCACAATGGCATCGGTGTATACACTCTTTGTCTTCCCATAAAATAAGAGATTAAAATCGCTTCATATCTTTCTTTCTACGAACTAATTCTTTCTTCCTGTACTATTGCAATCTTTCTTTTATATATTACCACCTCTGAATTAACTACTTTATGAATCCGGTGTTCATCTTGTTGTGTTAATGAGGTATGGCAACTTGGACCGATGCATATATGTGTCTGGTACTACGTTGTAGCTGACTGACTGACTTAATGTAGTTCCATTTGGTTAAACATAAAATGGAGAGGAGTAATGATCCAGGATTGAAGTTATAATAACTAAAAACAGAGTGACCATTGTTCTTTTGTTACCATTATTATTATTATTGTGGTGACCACAAAGCATTTGAATGGTTGTAGGTCAAGTTAATGGATAAGAATGAAATGTCTTTTTTTTGTAGATAGTGTTCTACGAAATTATAATCATCCAGGAAGACGTTTCATGTGTTTTAAAATACACTGATCTCTATGTTGTTACATAGTTGTATCAGTTGGTGTCTTCAGTGAACAGTGGTTACAAAAATACAGGAATTCGATGAAACGGTTCGATTTTATATGTGTTGCTACATTCTAGACTAAATTAGATGACTCTTCAAAATTTAAAACAAAATGCTATATATAGAGACCTGTTTACAGTGAAAGCAAATCTGATGATCTTGTCAAAGCCTAATCGTATGTGATATTATAGTTAAGGATCTCTAGTTACATAAGCCACTGTAGTTTCATTCGTTACGATCTTTTTTACTTACATGTATTACATGCATATATGGCAGATGGGGCATAAGTCGCTGTTTAGGGAATGGATCTTTATCTGTTATATCATAAGTTTGAAAACTGCTTAATACCGCAGTGTATGAACTCGTGTATCATTGTTTGTTTATATGAACAATACAAACTGTAAGTTCAAATTCATAGTTTTAGAACAATAGTCGGTTAGTATCATCAAGGTGCATTCCGTATATGATGTGGTTACCGTATTCATTGTGAAATAAGTTATTGAATCTGAATGTCAGAGCATTTTTAGAAAAAGAATTTGATAAACGATATGGTCAATATATCTTCATAATTATAGGCTAATGGCATCAGTATTTAGGTTTGGGAATATATTTTTCCATATGTTAATAGTGTTCAATTCCATTTTAACGGTTTACTTAGTAGTTATTCCGATTTCTTATAATATTAGATAACACATCAGTTTCAGAAAATAATATTACCAACAACAACAGTAATGGTACTAATCAAACCAATAAAACCCGTCGAAGAAATAATTCTATGAATGTAAATTTTGAACGTGTTTTTGTTGAAATCGGTGGAATAACTGAAACACAGCCGCATGGTACGGATCAGGTTGCTTTTTATCGTTTACGTCCTGATTATACAGTATTTTGCACTGCGGATTACATAAAACTTCCACAACAAGTTCGCTATGTGAACTGTTGTGTGCATCAAGTAAGTTGGTTGTTAACTTTCTTTTATTCGTATGTGAGTAGTTTGTGGATAAACAATAATTCCAACTTTATCGTGACATGCAATTTTTCTGGTTCACAAAACTCTTTCATTTCGTCTGGATAAAATATTCAATTATAACTAGTTAGTCACGATGTTTGCATCTCTCCAATTAATCTTTTTTTCTTAATCTGAGCTATGGAAACAAATTTCACGCTTGTTTATTGAAGTCTATGAGAAAGTTAAGATTAATGTTTAAAAACTTCATTTTACATGACTTAGTGACAAGAATACGATCATTTACTAATAGAAAGTGAAGAACATCTCGCTTTTCTGATACTTTTTAAAATTTTCTTCCTTTTAACTTTTGTCCATAGTATCTTTTACCAATTGATAGCCTGTTTCATGTTACCTAGTCATTAATGTTGAATGAGTTTTTTAATGGCAACATCTCTGCATATGAAACTGGATGAATGTAGTTCGAACCCTACGGGAGTATTGCAGACATGTCTAGTAGATAGGTAAGATCGAAGACGAGCTTTCTCCTAGCTACCCTCAACCATCTTTGTCTTTATATTGGGGTGATACAGAAATCGCTTGCAAAAGACAAGCAAGCATCAAGAAACTCTAAGAAGTGTTTCGTCCAATCAGCGTTCATTTGGAGTTTTGGCCAGAAATATCAAGGTAGCGAAACGTGACATGCGGAAGCTCTGATTGGTTGTCTACTACAGTTCTACTATGTTTAGTAGCGTTCCAGAATATTCCAGCGACCCAAGGACATTTAGATATATAATAAAAACCCTATATTTTCTGTAATAAAATGAACCTTGGAGTAAAGTATTTTCTCTCGTATTTGCGTCTTCTCTCTGGTGTTCAAGTCGCTGTATAGCTCTACCATGCGGGTCATCGAAATAGCTTAGGAAATAAATATAGCGTTCAGTCGACAAAACTTATCACTTTATTCACTCTATCTTATTAACATCTATATTAATATCAAGTTTAGTAACTTTTACTTAATGTTTGAGTTTTAACATTTTTTGTCATCAACAATAGTATTTGAAGTCTTTAGACGTTTCCGAATGTATTACACTTTATACCTTTGGTGTTTCCCATATTTAGGTGTGTAAATTAGGGTTTAACTAGAGATTTATTCATGTTCATATAACACTTTCTGGTTGTTATCCTTATTGATAAAATCGGCATTCCGAACTACTATATTCTCCTTACTTTATTTGTAAAACGATCTAGCTTCTTCTTTGTCACAAGTACATTAACTCCTCATTGTGACTGAAAAAAGAAGCCGTTTGTTTTAATAACCCTCTAAATTTATTAAAAACTAGTGGATTAATAAAGTCGCTAAACCGTATACTGTGGTGAATTCAACGTATATCAGAGATAGAATGTGTTTGATGAAGGGATATGAAGTATTGCTTGTTTAGCCATTCTGTTACTTATTTGCTAACTGGTTCCTATTCAATCAGAGTAAACAATTGGATCTTCACAACGGTCATCAGGTGTGTCTGAAATCTGGTTAAAATAAGTCATAATTTTGATCCCTGAATATTTTCTCCTTATGACACTTTCTGTATATATTTGTGCAGTGATAGGACGTTCGCCTAGTAGTTAATAAACTCGATTTGTAATTGTTAGGTAGCAGGTTTAAGTCATTTTTTATTTACTTCGAGTAGTGGTATTGTATCATTATAACTTATGCCTACAGTGTTTCTCAAATACGAGTAATAAATCCGCGCCTAGTAATTAAGTTAATGCTTATCTGTCCAGCGACTGAATAAAAAATGAATTTAGTAGTAATCTTGTGTTTTAAATAGCTCTATAAAGGTCGTACATATTGCTGGAACCTCCATTGTTATAAACATTAATTTAATGTTATATAGTCTGTCTTAATGATGATTCGTGGTCACTTTCCCCACATATACGTCGCCTGTTTTTTCTTAGGATACCAACCTGGTGTATATATTTTGGGAATCAACAAGTGAATTGTCAGTTTTGGATCTTCGTCGTCATACACTACGTTCACTAGCTCCCTTGGTTTCTTCCTCCACTTCATCTCCAAACGAAGCGCGGATATATGCTGGGTTATCGTGGGTCGGAGAGTATTTGTATGTGGTTGGAGGATTTAGTGAGTTTGTTGGTGATGATCGACGTCCTACTGTTCCACGAGATGATGTCCACTGTTATGATCCGACGACGAACACATGGTATGTTTTGTTTAATTAACATAATGCTATATTTCTATGTGTTACTGAATTACTGACTAGTGTTTTTCTTTTATTAATTTATTTACTACAGGTCCTGCATTAAAGTTCTAAATACAACAGTCCCTCGAGCTATCTTCGGCTGTGTTTGTCTCAATATGTGATACACCAATATTAGGGTTGTACGAACTTCCATATCCTATACATATATAAAAATATCATAACAAGAAATATGTTTATTTGTATACCTATTACTATTTTAATGTGATACTTCCTAATCGTAGGACCTAAGTATAAGGATATTTTCTGTTCACTTATTTTCATTTGTGATTTTTCTTCCTTTGAATTTTAACTCTGTCCATAATGCTACGACATATATTTGCTCTTTAACTTGTCAAATTATTTCCTCATTTTAATTGTCCCGCTGGTTCGGGTCGTACATTTCTTCTATGAGATATCACTTAGGTATTATAATCATCAAAGTGTTATCCACAAAAATGCATTTATACTGTTGTCAAGTTAATTTCGTTGTTTTTCATTTCTCTAATAATGGAAGCATCCATATACGTCTTTTTAAATTATTTATTTATGGTATAAGACTCAATAGTTTTCTTTGGGAATTACCTTATTTTGTAGTTACTTAATGATGAATGGCACTATCATTCCTATAATTGTCTGCCCATAGTTTGGAGCAGTAGGATTGCGGCTAATTGGTCAAAATATTTGACTTTCAATATCCAGGTAGAAGGTTCAGACCTCATCCCATCTACCTTGGTTTCAGCACTAGATTTTATCATTGCCTCTCATGCCTAAAACGTGACTCAGATCCAAATATATAAAAAGTTGACTCAGTGAACTACTTTACTATTTACATTGTCCTGAGAGACTAATAGGGATACGAATCAATTTTTCCGTTCTGATTGATTTCACGCTAGGTTTGAGCGACACTCATAACTGGTGAAATCCAGCCATTGATTTTAGTATCTAGCTACCTGATTTGTTCGGTACTTTAATGGGTAGAAGACTAAGGAGATATGATTCACCTTGGATAGTAGTCTTGTATCATAGTTGCTTGGTTTTCTGCTACAGAGAACAGCAGAAACAAACCAAGGATGAAGTATTGGAATGTATCCTAGGAGAAAACAAGTAAGGCATCGCTTAGCCCTCAGGGAGAGATTCCGCATATTTCACAAGATCCAGTATAAGTATACACTTATCCACTAAAAGCCATTAACATGAGTTTATACTGTCCTTTTTTTAACCCTTGCACCAAACATTCAAGTAGATGGTGGTTCGGAATGACACTATAATCTAACCTCTTGTGGCCCATGTATGCTTACAACCTGCCGTACAAAATTGTTGCCTGGCCTTAAAAACATTCGCTTGATACTTGCCTGAAAGAAATAAACCTTCCAAGCAGTCGTAGGGCAAGTGGCTTTCAAACTTCGAAGAATGAGCTAATATGAGGATTATCAACGCAACCCCGGGACGTGGCCCATTTCGTCTTTTTCAAACTTCGGTTCGGTATGATGTCTGTACAGACTCTTAAAGCTGTTATTAAAGTTAATTCATCTGTGTTCGTCACAAAAGTATTGCTTCTTTACGAAGTTAGTCTGAGACTATAGACTATCTGATACCTTGATCAGTCTAGCCAGTGTTTCGTCAAAACTTGTATCCGCTTCATCCAAGGTTAATTACTATTAGGGCCGAAGCTGGTGTTGACACCACAACCAGATCTCGGCTAGGTGAGCGTAAGAAGCAGTTGGTAACTGTGCGTATTACTTATTGTCGTGTCAACCACCTATCTTGAAAACCAACTGTAGACTCATCTTTCTCTGGGATATTTGTTATGTATACGGCAGTTTATGCGCATCTAAACAGTTGATGCTTTTAAATAAAAATAATATATTTGTAATATCCCAATGAGTAGAAAATTGGATTTTTCTGACGTTTCGTGACTTAGTGTAAGTCACTTCTTCAGAGAATAAACAACCAAATTAACATTAATCCAAATTTATATGCTATGAATAATGCAAACTTTTAACATTTAATATTGTAGGTGACTCGTTATGGTTGTAGAACTGTCATTTTGATGCTTTTCCTACCATCACTGCTCGCAACCATCAAGGTTTACGTTACAACTGACTTCACTTAGGGTCAGCCATAAAGTCGCATCCACTCGTTAGTTCAGATGAAGCTTAGTATAGCATGTGAACCACTGGCGCAACTCGATAACAGATAGGCATTCAATGCGTCTATATGCAGCGGACCAACAAAAAAAACAGATATCCCGGGTTTACACATTATGTAGAAAAGATACCATAGTCCTTCATTTCTTGGAACCCTCGAGGTGCATCCACTTGTTTCAATCCAATACCCGGCCAGACCACATTCGTAGATTAAGAAATGATTAGTGGTTCGTTGCTACAATGGATAATACCGACGTATACATGGCCGTTGTTAATTTATGACAGAATTCCTAAGCCATTTGCCTCAGTGTTTTAAACTGCTCTTAGTAAAAAGGACTACTGTCAGGAAAAATTCAACAGGTCATTACAATCACTTATTCGCCAGACACCTACAAAATAACTTTATATCCTTTCAGTTTCCCGAATTGGGTAATGTTTATCTGAGTGTTTGACAACTGTGATTATAAGTGCAAATCATTTGCGTTCCATCCGTTATATATGTAATAAAAATACAGATATAAACCGGTGCTTTTATTTCCGCCATGTTCATACTGAGCGGTCTATTAATGTAGTAAGGTGAACTAACAGATAAGACGTAGTGGATTCGATATTCCTCCTTAAAATTTCTGAAATACCTCAACTCACAAGTTTAAACGGCCAACGTTTTCTGACCCAAAGTTTTTAGTACGATGAAATAACATCGTCTGAAATAGTAGGGTGAAGGAAGCATTTTTCTATCGTTATATGTAAGTAAAATACATAATAACTGTGTCCAAATCATTTTGCTGTAGCCCGACTACTCATTCGCTAAAAAAGAATTTCTTTTTGTAAGCATCTCTAAAGCTTATCGGTTTTGTTACTTTGGGCTTAGTTGAAGTGCATCCGGAGTACCCTTCTGAAAGCATATCTTGTTCTTAACAAATGAATCTGCAATTCATAATCCTGACATACTTATCTTATGAAGATGAAACGATTGTAAAATAGAGCCACGTTTTCAGGACAATCCCTGAGTACTTTATTTGTGTCTATTAAATAAAGAAATACAATTTAGAGCATTAAGTTTTTCGTATATATATAATTGCATCGGTCGTTAAACAAATGCATGACTAAAAACACAGGAGTTCTAAAATGGGTTTAGATTGTCATAGGAAAAAAGTTTGTACATTCCGTGTACACAGGTGCTAGATGCTTTCAAATAACTATTAGGAATTGGTTTCATGAAAAAATGGCGAAACAGTTAGTTAGTTACTTTGTACTTATTAATATTGAAAGATATCATCAATATCTGATGAATTAATATACGTACACTGATACCATAGTAAGAATATGACAACAATGTTTACATAAGATGAATTATTGAGGAAGTTTTGATTGAAATAATACACAAAAATTAACAACGCAAAGAAATCAACGACTTGGATGTAATCCCAGAGTAAAGCCTCTGAGAAGTGACGGATGAAGTAAAGATAAGCTACATAATTAAATGAATGTGCAGGACAGAAACAAAACAGTAAATGAGGGCTGAAGTATCACACCCGTGATCTGCAGTGAGCTTTTCCTAAAGAAAAAAAACATCATGACGTTACTCCAAAGCAGAGTACATAATGACCTGCTTTAGAACTTTGGTTTGACTTGTCTCACGGATTTCTCCGGCCAGAAACATTTCATCAACAACGCTGTAAACTTTATAGAAGTTAAAGACGAGGTCCAATTCACAAACATTGTGGAACAGTTCGTTCAAGACTTCTACAAAATTATGGATCGCTTCTAGGTATGCGAGACTATTGTCCATTAGGTCTATACACATACAAAAATACAAGCCAGCATAACGACGATAAACTATCTTGAAATTTCGAAATTCAACAAAGTTAGTATGCTTGGCATCTCGTACAGTGACTAAGGCATGAACTTCTTCAATTAATTTTTGTTTCTCCTCGTCATCAAGATTCATATACCATTTAGCCAAGCGAGTTTTGCCGGCTCTATTTTGTATAAGAATAAACCTGATCATAGGCAGTGTCCTTGAAAATAAATGTGGCTCTCAATCGTCTTTCGACACCTTGAAACAACATAAAGTGGTAGAATGATCATAGACTTCCGCCAATGTTTGTAATTTTACACAAATCCTGTTTGTTGTATTCCGTTTTAGTCCATTCTCACACTATTGATCACCTTGCGTATTTTTGTTTACAACGCTCAGGTTTACTTATAAACCTTTGTAGCAAGGTTTCTTATTCCCAGTAAAGTGAAAAATAAAACCTGTTAAAATGTGGTTGGTGTAAAAGGTTGCTATTTAATTAAATATTCGTCTAAAACTCACTTCACTGCTGAAAACTCAACCCCCAATTGGTTTTTAAGTTTTGGCCGTTCGTGTGAAATATTACTGATCCAGGAGGTGATAGGCCTTTCGGTGTTGACCGGTGAAAAATGATTGTGGCTTCACTGGTTACATGGTTACTGACAACGATGTGTGTTTCAGAGTAGTAACTGATGTTCAAAAGATGCCCGAATTTAAATCCCACGGCTTTTGAACAATTTAGCATATATAGTTGCGTGTGATTGGATCAGCAACGCTGCTCCGACACAAACGGATTTTTATCCGAGGCCATTGCACTGGTGCATTCTATTGAAGAAGTATTAGCAAGCATAATCAAGACATATATAATATTCGCTCGGTCAATACACAAATAGATACGAAGTTACATCGTATTAGCTCAAAATCAATTAACTTACATAAGCCAATGGAGGAAGGACGGATTTCAAAAACGTTTGACAGAAATATAGGCTCGATAAGGGAAGATTCTTACGTCTTCCACCTCCAGAACGGCAGTGAGCAGGAAACGCCAAGAAAACTTGGTTGCAAGACTGGGTCTGTTACTGGCAGGAAAAACAGCAACCTAATTACCTAAGTAATCGACACTCAATTATGATTCCACAGTGTATGCAAATCGACTGCGATCACCATTCCAACGAAAGCTGATCAACAGGTATAGATCAGGAATAAAAACACAACTTAATGTTGCTAAAGCAAAGTTAGTTACACGAACGATAGTTAATAGTCAGGATATGATATTGCTATCGAAAGCCGTAAACACGATTTTCAAAGAAAACAAATCCGATACTAGTTTAATTATCCGAAATATGGAGCAGTAACAAAACACAATGAACCTGTCAAAATACATGAAAACGATTTGGATCTACTTGAATCCGCCATCAGAAATTTATTATCAGAACTGGTTTCATGGGTACATATCACGAAAATAGGTTCGGTAAGTGGATTGAAGGCGATGCTCAACGAAGAATGTGGCGGTATATAAATTCCCAAAATAAATAAATCTGTAAGCCTTCGACATTGGATGCTGACCACATTAGTTTAATGGATTCATCTGGCTGAGGGCACTCGGTTATGCATCCGCAACAGATCACGAGTGGGAACACCGTTCTCAACAACCCTTGCAACCGCTAGTCTAGATCGGTCGATTTTCGATATATTGATCGATTCTGACATTCTATTTTACTAGGTGAGTACGGTTCATATTAGTTGACAAGGACGGAACCAACGATAGCATCAGCACGGACCGCATCAAAGCAGCGTATCTAGAAGTCAGCCCTACCTACGTCGATTTTTCTGCGGTACAACCGAAGGACACGACTACGACATACACGATACTTCATCTGATAGCCAACACGCACGATGGTACTTTGGCAGTGTCTTAGAATGGTTGACATTGAGCGACCGGCCAATATGATTCCCTGCTACCCATTTTAAAAAAAATTGTGAGGTGTGAATGAAAAATTTAGTTATCGTTGATTGGTTGACTTGTTTTGCAAGTGTGTGCTCAAGTGATAATGAACAAACATTTTGTTACCTTTAATAATTTTGTTATTGGTCGTAAACTGTTCATCTCTGTAATCCGATTAGTTGAAATTGAAATCACATCTAGAGCTGTGATTGGATGTCAGAATTTTCATTTTTTACATTAGAAATTTAATGATAATGAATAATTTTTTTGTGTAATCTTAGTCTTGAAAAATATTTAAACTTTTGAAGAAGAAGACATCAACTTAATTGCATTACCGTGCAATCCTACTGTTAGTGAATGTGTATTGGGATAAATTTTTGTTTTCCGATCAAGCAGACCATGAATTGAAGTCGTTAGTTATCTTAACACGATTAAGTAAATGTATCTCATTAAAAGAAAGTTTTTGGAAAAAAGCAACTAAAAACCGGTTTGAATATTTGATGATAGTGATTACTGAATTAGGTCGGTAGTCTAATGCTGAATACCCAAATAATAAACAAACTATCATCAAAATGTGTGCATAGGTTTTTTTGTAACACATGGTCTGTTAATCGGAGAAATAAATCAACATATCAATAATTCATCATGATAAATTACTGATTGCAATATGTATAATTCAGGTGAAGTAACCGTAGACCATCATTGAATGAACTGACTTTGACAGTATATGAATGTAGTAATAAATTTAATCGATAGGCACTTAATATTTAGCAAACGATTATTTTGTAAATGGTCATTCATAATGAGAATTAGATAGACAACGTTAGATTTAAATGTGGTTCATTTGGAAATCCATTGAAACACGGTTTATTGTCTTTACTTGTAAATTATTTGTAGTTCTGCATTTTAAAATTATTTTTTTGGTCGTAATAAAAACTAGTGTGTTGAATCAGTCATGTGTGAGTACTGTTAACCGTAATATGAAACCTGCAATGTCTAGACATTTCGAATGTAACCATTTTTGACAAGCATTTGAAATATCAGTTTCATGAAGTGTAAATGAACAAGCCTACGTCGTCTGACTGACTCACCAAATATCTATCGACATTAAACGTATAAATATGAATAAGGTCAACTAAATCAATGAACATTTAAAATGTTATTATTATTTTTTGTCCTTATGATTATTATTGTTATTATTATTATTATTATTATTTTTATTATTATTATGTCAATTGACAAGATTCAATTCCCACACTATGTATTTCATTGACACAAAATTTTTTGCATTTTAAATTTTCCTGTAATGCTTTTCCACTTATTGTGACTGAACACTTTACTGCAAATAATCCAGGCCATTATTGAATGACCTTTCTAATTTGCAAATGTTACAATTTGTAAGTATATATATATATATATATATATATATATATATATATATATATCGTAATAGATGTAAACGTTAACCATTGTTAACACATTACATTGTCAAATTAATTAATGCCATGTCTTATTTTGGGACGTTATAAAATATTAAAATTATGGGCTTATAACTGAATAGTGTCATGATGAAGTTAATGAAAACTATTGTTCGCTAATTTATTTTTTATTTTTGAATATTCTATGAGAATTTTTATTACTGCTACAATCACATTGTATCAGTAATTCATAGTTATATAGCTGTGCAAATGAATACCTTGATATAATCAGTATTTATGAATCACAATGAAGGCTTAGTTGACGATCGGACGTACTTCTTACGTACGCATAGTTCTGGTTTCAGGTACTTTTAATATAAAACAAGAATATGAAATTCTTGTTTTTTGTATTCATGAAACGGATAATATGCTTATTTCTTTTAACACTTACTATATGACCTTTAATCACTTGAATCATTTCAATGATGATGGTTTCAACTTGTTTTATAATGTCAGTATTTTAATCATAAATAAGTTAATTTTCTTCATTGTGTTTACTTCTCTATGAGCTTTAATCACATTCATCTTAGTAATTATATTCACTAATAAATATTCTCATCAACTTATTGACCTAACGACAAAATTACAATTTTCACTATATTGAAATATTCCTATTAAAATGTACTCAAAATGTACTATTATTAGATAGTTTACAAAAGTGTTACTAAAACATGAACATTAATCACAATATTTTAAATATAAAATTACTGGATTAGTCTTCATCAGATGACAAAATGTTATTTAAGTTTTCTTAACCTTTATATCTCATAAACGTTAGAAACCAGTTTACGAATACATGAGCGATAATCGCTTTTCCATTATTAATCTCTAAGGGATATCTAAATTCATGAGACATTAATAAGTGCTTAATCACTTGACCTTTGCCGCGGAAAAGTAGTGGATAAAAAATAATGGAAATCAGATTGTGGGTGGCCCTGAAAAGGGCCTTTACTCGTTCTCGCGGTCGGACGTCGTCACTATTAGTTTGTAATTGCGCCACAGATAGGACAGTGCACTGCTCGTACGTTCGGCGATGGGTCGTAGGCACAGAAGGTATGAAACATTGCTTCACATCTACAGAAAACCCAACCAACCGCATCACCGGTTTCACACGGAGGCTGCGCAAGATTACATATGTCGCAGAGTCGATTCTCGTCATCCTCTTCTTCATTTTCGATGTCCCGTTCAGTTAACTCTTCGGAGTTAACACAAATTACGGTGTGTGCAGTAAGCCAATATGTGACGGCATGGTATTCCGTTTTCAATGAAGAATGGACACGAGCACCGGCTAGTATCGATGTGTACATAGTACGTCCCCGTGGCGTCCATAGCGGTGAATAAATCTTCCGACAATGCAGACTGCGTTATAGGAATACGAAGGTGTCGCTTCAGTAGTTGACAGGCAACTGGTGTTAGTCGTTCCTGAAGTCGACGTAATTCCGGCTCCTCACCAATATCGGCTTTCCCCCGACAATCCATCGAATATTTATGTAACCTTGCTTCCATCCAATATCCAGTACGAAGCAGCACATTGAAAATGGATCTGAGAACCGGTGTTTTTTTATTAAAGTGATACATCTTCAAGACTCGGTGACTGGTCTCGACGAAGTTCGTATTGTTCAGTTCAAAGAGAGTGGATGGCGGTCAAAAAGCAGTGGACCATTTGTGTTTTTGTGGTAGAAGGTGGTCTCTGACGTATCTTCCAAACGTTCCGTCAGACATTTCGATTAACGAAAGTACGTTGTTAAAACTACAAAATCATGTTATGTAGATTTTGATTTACCTTTCAACCGTTCGAGTGAACATCAGGCGAAAGAACAGTTGTACAATT